AGAGTTTCTCTTCCCATGGTACATAGTTAAACCGTGGAACTCAGTGCCACAAGATGCAGTCATTGTCTCGCCTTTGAAAGGGGATTAGACGGATTCATGGAGCGAGGGGCTGTCCGTGAATTTCCTCCAGGATCAGAGGACAGGCCCGCCCTTCAGCACTAGCCACCTGGGTCACAAACTCCCTAGGTGGGTTCCTTTGTCTGTGTTTGACAGGCTTCCCCTCCCCTCCCTTCGAGAGACACACGGAGAGGTGGCAGGGGGGCTGGAGGTGCAGTGGGTGGACTGGTGCAATGCACAATGCACAACGCGGGGTGCTTGTCTTGTGCACCGGCATTCTGCCGATTCATCGTATAGTGCTGCTGGTATTTATTAATATTTATTTTATTTAAAATATTTCTATCCTGCCTTTCTCCCCAAAAGGACCCAAGGAAGCTTACCTCATTAAAACAGTATTTAAAAGCTAAAACCAGGAAGTACACAAATATTTTAAAAAAAGAATTAAACAAATATTACAGCATATTGAAATGGTAACAAAGACCAGTATTAAAAATGTTTAATTTACTGCATTTTTAAACCATGTGTGTTTAATTCTTGAGCGGCTTTGGGTATGGTGAGGGAGAAAGGCTGGAAGGGAATAAACGAACAATGCAAAAACAGAGGGGGCTTGGCAGCTAAATCAAAGCAAATCTCCATTGTGAGCCTTGGGGAAGAAGGAATGCCAGGAATGGCCACTGGCCGCCAGGTAAGCCCCTCAGGCTCTGCTGGAATTCCCGCTTCCTGCAGCTATTTAAGGCACAGGAGCCCCATCCCGCTTTACACATGGCCACCGCAGTAGTGCCAATACTGTACCTTGTTTAGGCCTTGGATGGGGTTCTCCTGCCTTTGGAACGGCCACCTATCTCTCTGTGTGTCTTTTCCTGTTGACCTGCTACCTGAGATCTTTCAGCCAGAGGGGCCACAGGTGAACCTGGCTCCTTATGCCTTAGAAAGTGTGTGTGGGGGGGGCTCTGCTGTTGAAAGTGGGGCAGTCGGCTTGACTTTCCCATGCTGCAGAGCTCTGTGTAGGCCAAGGATTTAAATTGTTTCCCCTTCTTAGAGTTGCTGCAGGGACTTAAAAGGAAACACATTTTTCCCAAGGCTATATTCCAGCACGAGGCAGTCCGATAATCCTGGCACTCGAGCAAGGAGGCTTTGTTGATG